GCAGCAGAAGAAATGTGTTCTGAGGAAATCTACCTAAGACTAGTAGCCTTTCTGCAAGAACAGTTGCTGGGAGAATTTGAGAAAATTGGGAACCATGTGAATAGTTGATTAAAAAATGAGGCAAATGATTTCAAGTGATCTTCCTTGGCTCTTTATGAGTTGACAGATATTACTGATACTGCTCAATTATAACTTATTTGAGGAGTCAACTCTGAGTTTGAAGTGGCTTCTAGAAAAATTCTGTGTGGACCAACTTCAAGTGAGAATATTTTCAAAGAAATTAAGAAGACAATAATTTAATTCAATCTAAAGTGGAATCTGCCAAGATGTGTTACAACTATTGGTGGTAAAAATATGTATGAAGAAGAAAAAAGCTTAGCTGGACAAATTTGCAAGACTCACAAAACTGTAAGGTGTTTAAATTCTGTGTGTTTTCATTGTATTACTTTGTAGAACCTATTAGAATCAGTCATTGTGTTACAGTAGTTTATTTGTTAAATAATTCCTTGGGGCTCTAGGTGAGGCTGAACATAATGGCAGGACAGTGTGGCAGAGGGAAGCAGCTCACATCATGATCATGAATCAGAGAGCTCCACTGGCCAGATACAAACATATACCCCAAAACCTCCTCCAGCCACACTTTACTACTTTCAGTTACCACTCAGTTAATCCCTATTAGGGGATTAATTCACAGATTGGGTTAAGACTCTTACAACCTAATTATTTCTCCTCTGAACCTTCTTGCATTGTCTCACACATGAGCTTTTGGGGGACACCTCACTTCCAAACCATAGTAACATGTTAAGCAAGCATTCTACTGCTGAGCTACAACCCCAGCCCTTTTTATTCTGTTTTGAGACAGAGTCTTCCAAGTTGCACAGGCTGGCCTTGAACTTGAATCCTGCTTCAGCATCCCTAGTAGTTGGGACTGCAGGCATATCCCATCATGCTCAGGTTGATAATGGTTCTTAATGAATTCATCCTAAGATTGCAAGGCAAGACAATTCATACATGCAAAACGTGTGCTGAGCTAAGTCACTTAGAAAGTAATAACATTGTAATGACAAAAAGTAACTTTAAAAAAATGCTATGAAAAGGTAAAAACAGAAGCAAGTTCTATATTTCCATACATATTTATAGCAGATATATTATCTAAGCTCAAACTATAGTTCAAATGGTGTTTTTCAGATCTCAATGAAAGTGTAAAGGAAATTTCCATATTTATAAATCCATTTAATTTTGTATAGTTGAGCTTCTGCTAGTCTTTGATTGGAAGTCATTAATTTGTAGTGTGATGATGTGCTAAAAGACAAATATTGAGTGTAATAAACTTTTATAAATGCATTCTGTATGATGAATATGCTCAATTAAGATCATATGTTCATGGATTGATATCAATATTTGGCAATACCTAGCTATGTGAAAAATCATTTTTAAAAATTAAATTAATAAAATCTCATTACAGATCAGCAGTAAGGGGTCAACATATGTAATCAATTATGATGATAGAGAACATTGACTTTGAACCTCAATTCAGTGAAAGGTTGTCATCCCACATTTCAAAATTCTGCTCTTACATTGATAGTCCTGTATTACAAAATAAATAAATAAATAAATAAACTCAAATAGACTAGGAAAATATTTGAGTGTTAAGATATTTGTGGATTTTTTTCCTTGTCTTTTTTGCTTTAAAAGTACTGACACAATTTTGCCTTTTGGCGCATACAGGCTAAAATATGTACTGTCAGGACTTTTAAGGAAAATGTTTGCTGACCCCTAGATTAAAGGATTGATACTTGGGTTGCTCTTATCTAACTAAAAATTGATATTCTATGTAAAGATATCAGCAGATTTTTTCCCCTTTAGTAACGTCTGTTAGGGCATGAATATATTTTGAAAAAATTATGTAATAAAACCATCTTTTTATATGTTTGTGTTTCTTTGAATTTTGACATACTTTGAGTTATTTAGGTGTTTGCTACCCAAAATTTTAGTGAAGAGATAATAATTATATTTATACATTTAATTAGAAATTAGAAGCAATTACTTAGGTCCAATTTGATAAAATGTTTAAATCCTGTCATAACTTTTCTTTCATATGGGGTAGTATTCCTATTTATACATGTTAAATATTTCTAGAGGAAAAACTGGAAAATAATTTGTTTTTAAAATTTTTTTATTCTTGTTAGATATACATGACAATAGAGTGTATTTTGACATATTTTACATACACGGAGTATAACTTATTCTAATTAGGATCCCATTCTTGCAGTTGTACACGATATGGAGTTTCAATGATCATTTATTCATACGTGAATATAATAAAGTTATGTCCAATTCATTCCACTATCTTTCTTATATCCATCCCCCTCCCTTCCCTTCATTCCTTTTGTCTAATCCAGTGAACTTCTATTCTTCCCTCTCCCTACTTGTTATATATTAGCATCCACATATCAGAGAAAACATTTAGCCTTTGGATTTTTCGGATTGGCTTATTTCACTTAACATGGTATTCTCTAGTTTCATTCATATACTGACAAATGCCATAATTTTATTATTCTTTATGGCTTGAGTTGTGTGTGTGTGTGTGTATAGACATACGTATGTGTGTATATATGTGTGTATACATATATATATTGTGTCTGTATATATGTATATTAATATACACACACATATCACATTTTCTTTATTCATTCATCTGTTGAAGGGCACCTAGGTTGGTTCCATAGGTGTAGTTAAGGTGAATTGAGCTGCTATAAACAGTGGCTGCATCGATGTAGTATGCTGATTTTTAGTCCTTTGGGTACAGGTCAAGGAGTGGGATAGCTGGGTCAAATGGTGGTTCCATTCCAAGTTTTCTTTCTTTTTTTTTTTTTTTTTTTAAAGAGAGTGCGAGAGAGATAGAGCGATAGAGAGAGAGAGAACTTTAATATTTATTTTTTAGTTTTCGGCGGATACAACATCTTTGTTTGTATGTGGTGCTGAGGATCGAACCCGGGCCGCACGCATGCCAGGCGAGCGCACTACCCTTGAGCCACATCCCCAGCCCCACCATTCCAAGTTTTCTAAGGAATCTCTATACTGCTTTCAAAAGTGATTATATCAATTTACAGTCCCACCAGCAATGTATGAGTGAGCCTTTCCCCCACATACACTTGCCAAAATTTACTGTTACTTATATTCTTGATAATTACCTTTGTGATTGGAGTGACATAGAATCTAAGTGTAGTTTTAATTTGCATTTCTCAAATTGCTAGAGATGTTGAACTTTTCTTCATATATTTGTTGACCATTTATTTCTTCTGCGGAGTGTCTGTTCAGTTCCTTTGCCTATTTATTTATTGATGGGTACTGGGGATTGAACTCAGGAGCACTCAACCACTGAGTCACATCCTCAGCACTATTTTTGTATTTTATTTAGAGACAGGGTCTCACTGAGTTGCCAAGCACCTTGCCATTGCTGAGGCTGTCTTTGAACTCGAGATCCACCTGCCTCAGTCTCCCTAGCTGCTGGGATTCCAGATGTGCACCACTGCTCTCAGCTCTGCCCATTTATCAATTGGGTTATTGGATTTGTTGTTGTTGTTGTTAAGTTTTTGAAGTTCTTTGTATATCCTGGAGATTAATGTGTATTTGAGGCATAGGTGGCAAAGATTTTCTCCCATTCTATAGGCTATCTGTTCACTTTCTTGATTGATTTCTTTACTGTGAAGAGTCTTTTTAGTTTGAATCCATCCCATTTATTGATTCTTGATTTTACTTCTTGCGTTTTAGAAGTCTTGTTGAGGAAGTTGGTTCCTAGGCTAACATGAGGGAGAGTTGGGCCTACTTTCTCTTCTAGTAGGTGCAGGGTCTCTGATCTAATGCCTAGATCCTTGATCCACTTTGAGTTGAATTTTGTGAGAGATAGGTGTTATATTTCATTCTGCTACGTATTTTCAGTTTCCTCAGCACCATTTGTTAAAGAGGCTTTCTTCAATGTATGTGTATGGTGCCTTTGTCTAGTATAAGATAACTGTAGTTACGTTTCTGTGTCTTCTGTTCCATTGGTCTTCTTGGTGCCAATGCCATGCAGTTTTTGTTACTGTAGCTCTGGTATTGTGATGCCTTCTGCATCACGTTGGAAAATTAATTTGTTAAACAGACATAAGTATCTTTGAAATGATTCTTATGTTCCATCAGGCCAATCTAAATAAGTAGGCATATCTTAAAATGTTTAATTTTGAGATGTTATTAGTATTCCTTTCAGTCCCTCCTCAAGCATAGTAATAAAAATTTACAAAGCAGGGCTTGGTATCTCATGCCTGTAATCCTAGCTACTCAGGAGGATACAACTGAAGTATTCAAATTCAAGGCCAGCCCATGTAAGTTATTAAAAGCCTGCCTCAAAAAGAAAAAAAAAAAAGGTTGGGGTGGGAGGGGGGCTGTGGAGGTATCTCAGTTGTAGACATTTGCCTAGCACATATTGGGCTCTGGGTTTAGTTCCCTTACCAGGAAAAAAAAAAAATTTTTATTGAAGATTTTCTTCATTAATGCCCAGCATCTTGAAGATTGACTAACTTTTAAAAATCTATTATACACATTTCCTCATGAAAAAAGTATTTTTATTATCAATGTTTGAAAAATATTTGGTATTTTATAAATTAATATGGATAGAATATTGAAAGAGAAATGATAGAGAGTGTATTTCAGAAAACATTTAAATATATATTTGTACATCATTTTAAATTTGAAAAGGTGTTTCTTGCTACATAAAGTCCATTGATTTTTTTTTTCCCCCGTAAGTGGCTTGTAATTTATAATGTAGGCAAAAATATGAAATATGTATAGGTAAAGGCTGAGATAATTTTTGTCTCTACACATTAGGTAGATAAAGAGAAATCTTAAAATGGGAAAATTTTCTTGTTATTACTTAATATATTATTTGACATGATTTTTTTTCCCTCATATCTAAGTATCTTAATATCTAATTTAACTTTGATATAAATCTTGTTTTCTAGATGAAGCACTGGATGATTTAAAATCCCAGAAGAAAAAAATAGTAAGTTAATTTTTATTTAAAGTTAATTTATATAAACTAATAAGTTAGAACTGGATAATTAATGTTTATATGTTATAACTTAATGACTCTCCAAGGAACAAGTATGCTTTTAGATAGCATTTTAATGATGAAGTTAAATTACAAATATTTTCTATAGTTGGATGGACTTTTGAGATTCTCAGAATCTGTCACTTGGAAGTTGAGATGTAAGTAAATAAATCATATTGAAGAACTAAATGAGGCAGAGAAGGTAAAGAGGTAGCTGTCCAGATAGTTTATTATAGCCTAAAATGGACTAAGTAGCTACATATGTCAGTTTTTCAATTTTCTTAACACCATAAGGTCAAGAGACAGAATCAAGATTGGTTGTAAGAGACAAGTTCAACATGAAATGTCTAAATTAAGGGGGGGGGGGAGAAAAAGAAAGAAAAAAAAATTTTTTTTAAAGCATTTTCTACTTTCTAATAGCAGTGCTGATCACATGGACATCTACTGTAGTCAGTTAAATACCTCCTTTGTGGTTTAAGAAAGAGGGCCCAGAGTAAGAAAAAGGGCTGTTGGTATTTAGAAGGTGATTTAGAATAGTCTCTAATAATGAATTGTTTTTGGTATTTGGCTTGGTGATTTCACCTACCATTTTAAAATTATTTTTGAATTATGTGATAATTACGATAGTATCATGTTACATGGAAGCTGATTTAATCAGGTATAAATGATTGGTTCAATGTATTTTTGTATAGTATGTAACAAGTTGTGTTAACTAGGTTTCCATCATTATGGCAAAATACTGAAATAACCAACTTAGAAGGAGGAAAGTTTTATTTTGGCTCATGGTGTCAGAAGTTTTAATCCATGTGAATAGGTAATAAAAGACACTAGTTGAGTATTTTAAGTAATTTAAATATTAAGTAATTTTAACACTGAAGGGATTAATACTGAAGGGATTCCTTATCTGTTTGTTTGATTCTTTTTAATGTTTTATAAGCTGCTTATCAATTGTATTGATAGTTTTGATAGCCCTACAGTAAATTATAGAAGTATGTATTAACAAATTAATTAACTTTATCATATATATATATATATATATATATATATATATATATATATAGGTATATATGTATGTATAGGGCACAGGTAGAGTACAATAGTCTTTGAAATTTCAGACATTCACTAGGAGTCTTAGAGCATATCCTTTGTGGGTAAGGGAAGACTACTCTAGGAAAAGAGAGAGAGAGAGAGAGAGAGAGAGAGAGAGGAAGTTTTAGTGCTGAGAAACAGCCCAATGTCAGTAGTATCACATGATCAGAAAACACAATTTTGAAGAACATGTGATTGGCAGAAATCTCTTTAAGAGTAACAGAGCTGACATACAGGAGTCTGTGAAAGGGCAAGCCAAGCTATGTTCTACTTCTTTAATAGCCCTTGAAGGAATCATGGCATAAAAGATACAGTCTGACAACAGTTGAGAAATTCAGGGTTCAGTAGCTCTGTATATTTAAATGATTATAGAAGCTTTAACATTACAGAATACTTCAGTATGGCATTTCTTTTTCAGTATGACTAAAAAATAGATTGAATCTAACTCACTGTATTAATAAGAGAGCATAATTTGCATTGACTTACTTGACTATTGGTTATAATACTGCTCTATTGGGAGCTAATCCCCCGTCATTACTGCTCAAGCCTGGAACAGAGATGCTTTGTTGGTGTAGCTTTCTTTACACTTTGGAACAATAGGTGTTAAGGTTAAATTAGCAAACCAGTGATCAAGCTAGCAGTGAGAGGCAAAAGAAGGACATTGTTTTTGAGCAAAAGCTAAACATAATCAAAACTGATTTTTGCTTATGGATATTTAGTTTAAATGCTATACTTATGGTTTTAAATATACTTCTATTGTTGAAATACCTGCAGGAAAAATAACTTATTGGGGCTGGGGCTGGGGGTCAGTGGTAGAGCGCTTGCTTCACACTTGTGAAACACTGGGTTTGATCCTTAGCACCACATAAAAATAAATAAAGATATTCAAAAATATATATTAAAAAATAACGGTCTAAAATTATCAAAGTCCCAATCCTTCTCTTTCATTAATAAAATTAATGAGTTTACATTGTTACTTGATACTTTATTAAAGGCGATTTCCTAAGGGATGAATTTTTTTTAATCTGAGTAGATTTGTTAATGATATTTGAAATTTATGAAAGTATAATTTGTAATGATGAATATGAATGGTCAGTTGATTAAAAAGTTAAATTACTTAGAAAAATGAGTAATATTTCTATGTCTTAAAGTTTAAGAACTTAATGTTAGTATTTATTACTAATGAAAATAAGGCTAGGAATTAATCTTTAGTTATCTAAAAAGTTCCCAAGTCTGGGTCTGTACATTTTGCTGCTCACATGTTTGGTGGTTCTTTAAAAATTTTTGTTTTTTCCTTTTTAATCACTAAGTAATCTATGCAACATATAATCCTTCTGTATCCATGATTATTCCTACAAAACAGTTCAAAGTCAAGATCCATCAATGCATAACTCAGAATTAACCTCTTTAAGTGATTTCATGAATGTTCTATGCTTTTTCCAAAATAATGTTTCTATGTGGTAATTCCTCTCTGGCATTTGTCAGGGAATTTATGTTGTGAATTTTGAGAAAAATCATTTAAGAAATTGGGAATGTGGGGAAAATGTTATAATTTTTGACATTAAAGTTTTATCAGTTAAATACAGGTATTACTTGTTCAAAGGAATCCACAAATGTCATTTAAAAGCAAGAGCAAGAAATGCTGCAGGTTAATGTTAAATTTTTTGGGTGTAGAACAGAAGCATGTCAAGAAGTAGCACAATTTAGTGGTTAGTCTGGCTTTTATGGCCCTGTCTCTTCCTAATAGTCATTCTTGCAAATAACTATTTATAAGTTTATATTCATGATAAAATTTAAGTAAATCCTATGAATGATATTTCATGAAAGAAATTTGGAAGCAAAAAGAAATTTATAAATTGGTGATTTCAGSATATGATTCTGTGTAGGTCTGTTAACTTTACTAGTCCTAGTTTCAAATGTTAAAGTTTTATATTACTCAATAATATTTGCTGGTGTTTGAATATTCAGTAGGCTACAGATTAATAGAAGAGACTACAAAGAGAAAAGATGTGGAATACTCCTATATGACACTAGAAAGTGATTTAAAATCTGAATTAGTAAAAACATTATCAATTTCAACAGCAAACTAAAATCAGAGTAAGCAGGTACTATTTTCATCATTATAATACGTTTATATGATTTAACATGTTCCCTAATACTCTGAGTTGAAGATTCTTTTGGATGCACTCTTAATTTGACCAGTCAATGTGAAGTGTAAGATAACTGGCATATTTGTCATGAATCAAAGATGAAGAATATTGGATAGGACAATTAACACTTAGTGTGTTTTAAGATTTTATTTCAAGAATTCTTGAACTAAAGCTCAACTTTTTCTGATGTTGGGCCATACTTTACCAGTGATTACTTTTAAATGATACTAGTGATTGCTTTTAAAATTAAACCTATGCATTAATTAATATATTAAAGAATTGGAGTACATTGTAAATAACATTTTATAACAATGAAGTTATTTTAATTATAGTTTATATTGTGAACATAGAATTCAATATAATTTTTACTTAAATTGTGTTCAGTTTTTTTTCCTAAAGTTGTTTGAATCTAAAAAAAGAAAAAATAGGGGGATGGGGAAGGTTTTAGCTTTTAAAGTCATTTGAGTAAATTCCATGGCTGTTCTCCCAGTTAGTAAGTTTTCACTGCATTTGTAGCAAGTTAATTGCTTCTGCTAATAAATAATCTAAAATCGATGCTGACAGCAGTTAATTGGCACAGAGATTTTATTTTGTAAAGCTCTTGGCTAACGACCTTCTTTAAATTAATAGCATTAAGTGCTTTGAGGAAATAAATCTGAGGAATTGCCTGTCATTTGCTTGTCATGTCTAATAACTTCCAATAATGATGGCTGATAGATTTTTGCACATTCCATTATTGAAGTTGGTGCATGTAATTATTCTCCTCATTATATGTAAACAATTAGCAATATCTGGTATTTCCTTGCAGTAAAGCTGTTAAATACAAGTAACATATTAGAGATTAGAAGCCATTTTAAAATCTAGATTTTAATTATTTTCAGGAAGTCTTTCATTCTATCTGGATATTTTATGTGCTAGATCTAAGTAAAAATAGGGTGGGGGTTTAGCTCCTTTCGATTTAAGACTAGCACTTGAATTTTTTTGAATAGAACTTCTAAAAATTGTAGTGTGGATGTTTTAAAATGTGACAGCTTATGGAAATTTTTGTTTGTAGCTTGAAGAAGTCATGGAAAAAGAAACTTACAAGACAGCTAAATTAATTCTCGAAAGGTTTGATCCAGACTCAAAGAAAGCAAAGGTAAGACTGTGATATCATTAATATTTTATGATAAGATGCACATTATGATAGACCACTATAATAACATTATTGTAATTGATAGGAGTTTGAGCCGCCATCTGCTGGAGCAGCTGTAACTGCAAGACCTGGACAAGGTAAATAGCTTTGTAGAAACTGCTGCTGCTGTTGGAAAGATCCATATTTACCCAAGTGAGTTCATAAGTGTGTTGGTGGTGTGTAAAAACTCATGTAGAATGCTTTTATGTTAATTTATACTTGGTAATTTGAGATATAACTTAGGTAGATGGCAATCATTGTAATTCAGTTTGATTTTTGTGGGACTATATTGGTCAGTTAAAATTTTGAATATCTGTTGAGGTTAAAATATATAATTGATTTTAACCTTTTGAAATTTAATGAGTAATTAATTTCACCAATATTTTATGAGATTTCTCCTTCAGATAATAATCTCTTGAAATGTATTATGAAAAACTTAACATTTTAATTCTTTAATTAATTAATTAATTAATTAATTTATTTTTGTGGTACTGGGGAGTGAACCCAGGACCTGGCACATTGTTGGCAAATCTTCCACCACTGATCTACACCCCCAGCACTATTATTTATTTTTGAAGAATATAATGAATATTTTGTCAAATTTGGAATTTCTTCTAAAATGGCACTTTTATATAGTAAAAAAAAATTAGAAATGGGAAAAATAAAAAAGAAAAATTCTTCACAATGCAGCTCTTCCTTTTTGAGGTTTTAGTACCATGGTATTAGTCATCACTATTACCCTAGTAAATGTTTTATAATATTTTAGAAGTAATTTTAAGTGGCTACATAAAATATTTCTAGGACTGGTATGTAAAAAGGTATTTTTGAGTTTGTTGGTTTTTCTTGTTCTTTTCTTAAGAATATAGAAGTAGAATTTGTAAGGCTTTTATTGCAATGTGAGGGTATATTACTTTAAAAATTTAACTTCCATTCTTATAGTAATTAATTACAATTCTTTAGAATTGTGCTCATTTGTAATGTTATAAAGCATGTAGAACTTTGAAAAGTAAATCCCCTAATAAAATCCACAAAATCCATGGTTATTAAATAAGTCTTAGTTTTAGGTTTTCGAATTGACATGGGTATGTAGAAAGAATTCTACCTTCACCTTCTATCTTCCATTAGTAGGATTTCGTTTTATAGAAATATTAGCCTGTTTTCTTTTAGAGTCTCTTTTGAAAAAAAGTTTACATTATAATTAAAACAAATTATGTGGATATACTTGCAGTGAAATTCCTATTTTTATAGTTTAAATTTTTCTACAATTTATACTTCTTTCAAGAAACCATCAAAAAAGATTTTTGGCCTACAGACCAGATTTCCATAACTTCTAAAGAATTTTTCTATATCTAGTCTTAATTTTTCAAAAATATTTTTTGATTGAATTCCTGGAAGTAGAGAACAGAAGAGTTATTTCCCAGAGTGGGAAAGAGATGGAGGATAAAGGATTAAAGGGTAGAAAATTTCATTATATAGGTGAATATAATATCTAGGGCTTTAGTGTACAACACAGTGACTGTAATTAGCAATACTATATTGTATACTTGGAATTTGCAAACAGCATATCTTAAGTGTTCTCATTTCATATAGGGGAAAAGATAACTGTGAGATAATGAACATTTTGATTAATATTTTAATTAACATTTTGATTTCACAATATGTAGTCAGATACAGTATGAATAAATAAAAGTAACCTTGATGAATGTATTTTAGAAATGTGATATTTGCAAAAAATTATTGTTGATACTTTTTTTAAAAGTGATTTCCTTTACTAACATACTTAAGTATTTATTAGTATTTAGGCACACAAGTTAATTCAAGAATCTAAACTCACCTTTCCTTAGAAACTTTTGAAACCCAAATATGTGTTTTTCTTCTGATGTCACATTATAATTATGGGAAATCATTGTTGGTCTCACTGGTTTGGATTCCTTTGGTACTGTTTGCTTTCACATATTATTTTAGGGAGAATTAATACTTAGTTATAATATGAATGAATCATTTATTAAAAAATTTGCATAACTCATGTTCAGAAACCCAGGGGAATATAATGATGAATATAACATGTTTCTTGATCGTAAGAAGGTTATAATCTATTGTTATTTTCTTTTAAAAAAATATATCTTCTGCGGTGTATTATTCTAGTGTGCCTCACTCTTCCAGGGTTATAGTAATAAATTACTGTTTTGAATTTTTTTTTAGCTTTTAAAAAATTCTAAATTATGGGGCTGTGTTGTGGCTCAGTGGTAAAGTACTGGCCTCGCATGTGTGAGCACTGGGTTTGATTGTCAGCACCACTTTAAAAAAAAACAATAAAAAATTATAAGTTTTATCACAATTCCATTCTACTTTTAAAGAATTATACCTAAGTTTTATTGTTTTTATCATGTTTTTTTTGGTGTAACATATTTATTTGTTTATTATTTATATGACAGGGGAATGCATTACAATTCTTATTACGCATATAGAGTGCAATTTTTCATATCTCTGGTTGTATACACAGTATATTTACACCAATTCGTGTCTTCATACCTATACTTTGGATAATAATGATCATCACATTCCACCATCATTAATAACCCTATTCCCCTCCCTTACCCTCCTACCCCTCTTCCTTATCTAGAGTTCATCTATTCCTCCCATGCTCCCTCTCCCTATCTCACTAGGAATCAGCCTTCTTATATCAAAGAAAACATTTGGCATTTGTTTTTTTGGGATTGGCTAACTTCACTTAGCATTATCTTCTCTAACTCCATCCATTTACCTGCAAATGCCATGATTTTATTCTTTTTTATTGCTGAGTAATATTCCATTGTGTAATATGCCAATATGCCAATTTTTTTTTTATCCATTCATCTAATGAAGGGCATCTAGGTTGGCTCCACAGTTTAGCTATTGTGAATTGTGCTGCTATAAATATTGATGTGGCTGTGTCCCTGCAGTATGCTGTTTTTAAGTCCTTTGGGTATAGACCCATGAGCGGGATAGCTGGGTCAAATGGTGGTTCCATTACCAATTTTCCAAGAAATCTCCATACTGCTTTCCATATTGGATGCACCAATTTGCAATCCTACTCCGATCAGAATGGCAGCTATTATGCATACAAACAACAATAAGTGTTGGTGAGGATTTGGGGAAAAAGGTACCTTTATTTATCTTTATGTGGCCCTGAAGATCAAACCCAGAGCTCCACACGCGAGGCATGTGCTCTACCACTGAACCACAACCCCAGCCCTTCAGGAAATATTTTGAGCTCGACTTTCCACATATATATAAAATCTGATGTATTAATCTACTTTAAACTGGTTAGGGAGATTATATTAAGTTTTAAAGTAAGAAAATTTAATTTTTTAAAAGAAAATACCTTCAATGTTACTAACCATGGTCCAAGCTATCTTTGGTGCTTTCTATTACTGACTCCATCTTTGCTCTCTTTGGAGCTTCTTCTCAAACATTAAGCTTCCTTTAAGACATAATATTGGATGATGTCAGTCCTCTGCTCAAAATATTTCCAAAATCAACACTTTTGGTAATGTAGAGGTCCTTGGTGACTTTAGAATAAAGTTTTAGTGTAATGATAGGAGCAAGAACCTGATTAGAAAGGATGGGAGTAGAAGAGTTCAAGACAATGAAAGAGATGAATCTTTTGAGTGAAAGGGAATGAAGAAATGGATGACTTGGAGGGGGAAGCATTTTGTGTGCATGGGTAAGCATACTGTGTGAAAGAAATAATACCATATTTATGTGCTACTAGGAATGGCCCAGAGCACATGAAATAAAAGATGACATAAGAGGGAATGGGGACAGTTTATTGAGAGCTGTTCATGAGAAGGTGAAAGAAGGTGTGATATAGTTTACAAATATACAAGTTAGCGTTTGATAAGAGTGTGGCAGTTCTTGAGTAATAAGGGCAGACTGAGAATATGAACAGATATAGTTAGGTGGAGGGAATTGTTTTCTGAGTGTATCTGATTCCTTAGTGAAGGTAAATAAAGTTGGGGGAGATATAGTTGGGAGCTTGAAGAAACTGTATGAAATAATTCTCTAGTACAGTGAGAGAATAATTGAGAGATGTAGAGTGCCAGAGTGCCCTAGAAACTGCTTAAAATCAGTGGTCATGAATTTAAAGCATGACTGTGTTTTTTTATGTTCACCTTTATGGGTGCAGGAATGGAGTAGACAGATGGTTGATTTTAACCAGGGTTGAGATTTTGACTAATGAATTAGGCAAAGTGATAAAGGGGCAGGGCAGGGAGGTGAAGTTACATGCAAGGGAGTGATTTTAACAGTGGATTATGGAATTTGAGAAAATCATGAGGGAAATAAGGACATGAGGGGGGATGACGGACAATAAAAAGCTGTTTATAAAAACCAGAAAACTATATCTTGCAAATGAGGGCCAAAGTTGTGGGTTTTTAAAAAATGGCTCTTCAGCTTAAAATGGGTTTTACATTTTTAAATATTCTTAAAAATAGCAAAGAAGAATATGCAATAGTTAGATCTTGTGTGGTCTGGAAAGCCTAAAATCTTCATCCTTAGGCCTTTTTATAATAAGTTTGTTGACCCCTTCATAATGAATAACTAATGAAAACAGATCCTTTGGGGGTTGTAGAAAGTAAGCTGAAAAGACAAGTTTGATTTGAGAGTGGGATGCTTAAATTCAAGAGGTGAATAGTTATTATAGGTGCCCAAGGTTCTAGGACTAAATTATAAACAGAGGAGTGAATAAAATAGGAGGATGCTTAAGATTATTAGAGGATGCCATCACAAGCTAAAAATGAATACTTAACAGACCATCTTGTTTTTTTTAAAGGAAGTCATACCCTTCTCTTTATGTATAACTTGCACCTTTACTAAATTAAATTAGCAAAAGTCAGTTGTGTTCTGTCACAGCTGTATCTAAACTGTAGTATTGCAGAAAAACCTAATGGTTTTGGCAAATGGATTACAACTTCTTATATAAATAGGTTTTTAGAGTTTATTCACCCCTATTCTATAGCATATGTGGAAAGTTAGTAAAAATCATAAAACTTTTTTGTTCTTTATGGCAAGTGGAAGGATGCTTAATATCTTGCTGTTTTTCTGGGGTTTATGTTTA